AAATTTATTGTTAATTAATTTAAAGTTATTGTTTACTAATTATATTAATTACAATAGTAAAATTTTTAAAATATTTAATTTGTTTCGCCATGAATGAAATACAAGGTAGTAGATATTAAACTGACTACACTGGCTGTCTATTAGATTTGTTAAACTATATTTATTGACGTTTCGACCATACGGCTGTGGTCCTTTTCAAAATTACAATAGAAGCGTTCTAGAAATTAATGTACATGCAATCAGAATCAACATTTAAATTGAAAACGTGAAATGTAACAAATGAGACTTACAATGAGTTACTGCATATCGTTATTAACATTTAAAAGTACGCTCCGGTGAGACTTAACTTAAGATCGGATGGTAAATTAACTGCGTTTCACTTGTGTCATCTTGCCACGACTGAGCACACTGTACTAACGAATAAACACGCCGAAAATTATGTCAAAGTTAAAAGTTAACATATTTACATTCTCGCTAAATTGTGATGTACCATATGGCAAATTCCTAAAATAAAATATAAAAAATAAAAAATAATAAAAAGATAAATAATAAATAAATAGATATATTCGGTTCGCTTATGTCATCCTGCCTTAACATACCAATAATAAACTACTAATAATAGCTCCTAACCATGTATGTTAAAATTTTTTTACTTCAATTTCTAAACAAACTGTCATATATCGTACTAAAGCTTTCAGTGTCTTTCTGTAAATTGATAGTGGAATTCAATTTCTTGATAAAGTACATTTCGGCTATTTCTCTTTTTCTTCTATTGTTTTCTTTATGCAGAATTAAAGGATTCGACCAATCAAATTCATGTCCTTGATTAATTCTGTGCTCACTAACAACAGAAAAATTGCTCGCTGAATTTTTAATATTACGTCGGTGTTCGTTAATCCTAGTACTAAGATGTCTTTTTGTCTGCCCTACATAATTAGAATCACAATTGTTACAATTAATACAATAGACTACGCCGGTTTGCTTATTAATATCTAAATTATCTTTCCCCGATTTTATTAAACAGTTCAGTTTTTTGGGGATGGTAAAAATTACGTTAAGGTTCTTTTTGTTTAGAAATCTATATATGTCATTAGTGAACCGATTACAATATGGAATGACGATGAAATTTTCCCTCCGTCGAATCTACATTTATAATTTTTTTATCCTCATTGTTTATAGGTTGTGACAGCTTGTGGGTTCTATCATTGACATATTTATTAATGAGATTTTCCGGGAAGCAATTATTTTTCAAAATATTCTTTACAATTTTTAAATTAGAGTCATGAAACCGTTTGTTAGATAAATTTATTGCATGGTCAACTAAATTGGTAATGGTGTTAATTTTATATTTCATCGGATGATTCGAGAAAAAATTGATGTATCTTCCTGAGAATGTTGGTTTTCTGTACCAGTTAGTTATGAGCTTATTATCATCCCTGTGGACAATTGTATTCAAAAAACTGAGTGAATTATTAGTTTCAATCTCATAAGTAAAAGTTAGTCTTGGGTGATAGCTATTAAACACCTCGCTCACCTCTAACAGTTTATCGTTAGGAAGGATCATGAATATGTCATCTACATATCTATAGAAACAAGATGTTTCGAAACCAAGCAAGGACAAACAATCTGTTTCAAGATCCTCCATTACGATATTTGCGAGTATGGGGGAGAGAGGTGAGCCCATTGGACTCCCATAAATTTGTTCATAAGCTATCCCATTAAACATGAAACTAGTTGAACACAATATTGCATCAATCGCATGCCTGAACTGTTGAAAACTAAAATTAGTATGTCCCGATATCTCATTCCATCTCTTTTCTATACCTTTTATGACTAGTTCCTTCGGAATATTAGTGTAGAGTGAAGAGACATCCAACGACACCATTATATCGGTTGACTCTATGGTTTTATTATTTATTGATTTGACGAACTCCCGACTATCTTTGACGAACGATCGAGGTTTTTGAATTGAATTTAGTAAGATAGAGTGTAAATAATTTGCCATCATATACGTTGGACTCCCAATAGAAGAGATGATAATTCTTAAGGGGGTTCCCGCTTTGTGGATCTTCGGCAATCCATATGCTCTCGGAGTGTTCCCGTTCGTGCATTTTAAATTATTGAGAGTACGTTCGTCAATTAAGTTGTTCTTTTGCCAAGATTTTAATAAGTCGTTAATTCTTTGAGATACATTGTTTATCGGGTCTTTTTTCATGATTTTATATGTCGATGTGTCACTCAACAATTCAGTCATCTGACGCACGTATTTGTCCTTGTTCATAATGACAGTGACTTGTCCCTTATCCGCTCGCGTTACAAAAATATCTTTGTTGTCATTTAAAAACTTTTTACATTTTGAGAATTCGATTAGAATATGTCTATTTATAAAATCTTGATGTTTTCTTTTGTTTTTAAGTCTATTCAAAGAATTAGCGATGCAGTTACGCGTATCATTCAGTAGGTTGCCCTTCAGTCGGTGGCTATTTAATTCAAAGTTTTTTATTACGTTAAGAGCAAATAACTCAGAATCTTTTTCACTATTATGATTAAACGGCAATCCGAATTTTCCCCCCAAGCTCAGAAACCTAAGTATGTTCTCTGGTACTACTTTATCCGAATTATTAATTATCCATTTATTATAATCGAAATTGAAAAACCCACTATATAGCTTATTTTGACGATTGAGAAGCAGATCAAATTTTTTAATTAATTTACCTTTAATTATATTTTTATGTTTTAGAACTTTTAGATTCTGTAATTCTTTAAACTCTTTAAGTAATTTATTCGGTAGCGCAGTTTGCAGATTCCTTTCTAATTGTCTGCTTCTTACATTAGAACGATTTAAGAAAAGTTAATGTCCTTAATTTCTAGGTTCAAAATAAGTTGTTTGCCACGCGATACAAATGTGGAAA